TACCTCTGCGTATTCGTGGTACCTTTCAGAGTCTTCGGCAATGCGGAAGGCTTCAATTACATTGCCGTCTGCTAAATGCGCTGATTGTTCGGCCAGTGCCTGATCAACTCCTTCTTTTTGTAAAATATGGCACAGCTCGGTTTCGTTGTGAGGCGGAATGAATACTTTTTGACAGCGGCTGGTAATGGTGTCCAATAATCTTTCGGGCTGCTCGCTCACCAGCATGAATATGGTTTTGCCTTCGGGCTCTTCCAATAGCTTAAGTAATTTATTGGCGGCTGAAGGATGCAAATATTCCGGCAGCCAAAGCAGAATAATTTTGTAGCCCTTGCCAAAGGCTTTTAAGTTGGTTTTTCTAATCAAACTTTGACTTTCATCTACGCTAATAATGGGCTTTTTGGTTTTTGCGTTTAAGTGCTCCAGCCAATCATGTATAGTAAAGTATGGCCTGGATTGGATAAACTCACGCCACTCTTTCGCCAGGTCATCGGAAACCGACTGCTTGGCTTTTTTATCCTGGACCATGGGGAATGACCAGGTTAGATCCGGGTAGTTGAAGTTATTAAACTGCTTACAACTAAGGCATTGACCACAACTATCGTTCTCCTTTTGGTTGGTGCACGAAATGTATTGCGCAAAGGCCCGGGCCAAAAGCAAGGCGCTGCTGCCCGGCTTAGAGTAAAAAAGGAGCGCGTGGCTTAGCCGGTTGTGCTTAACAGCGGAAAGCAATTCGTGCTTCACTTGATCTAATCCGGGAATTTCACTTAAAGTCATCGCGAGAACTTTTCTAAGGGGCTATTGATTAATTTCGCCTCAAAATTACTGAGAAATGAACAGGCTCACAGATCTAAATTTAAAAGATAAAAGAGTTTTAATTCGTGTGGACTTCAACGTGCCGCTTGGCGATGGTTTTCAAATCACGGATGACAGTCGCATGCAAGCGCATTTGCCTACCATAAAAAAGGTGTTGGAAATGGGCGGTAAACCGATCATAATTTCCCATCTCGGTCGTCCAAAAGGACAATACGACAAAAAATACAGCTTGACGCACCTCAAAAAGCATTTAGGGGATATTTCCGGCCACAACGTGACCTTCGGTAAGGAAACGGTAGGCCCCGAGGCTGAAAATGCCGCAAATAGCTTGAAAACAGGTGAGTTGTTACTGCTTGAAAACCTGAGGTTTAACCCAGGCGAAACAGCTGGTGAGGCAGAATTTGCGAAAAAACTGGCCAAATTGGCCGATGTTTATGTAAATGACGCATTCGGAACCGCACATCGGGCGCACGCCAGTACGGCAATTGTTGCTGAGTTTTTTGAAGAAAAAGCGGTCGGCTTGGTTATGCAAAAGGAAATTGAAAACGTTTCCAAAGTTTTAAAAGGAGGAAAAAGTCCGGTAACTGCCATTGTGGGAGGGGCAAAAGTTTCTTCCAAAATTAGCGTACTGGAAAACCTGCTCCCGAAAATTGACAATCTGATTATTGGAGGAGGCATGGCTTATACCTTCATTAAGGCTCAGGGCGGAGAAATTGGCGCCTCTTTGGTAGAAGATGATCTTCTAGAAACCGCGCTCACCATCCTGGACCAGGCTAAAAAGCAGAACACCCGGGTGCTGCTCCCGATTGATTCCGTAAATGCCGATGCTTTTGCCAATGAGGCCAAAAAATCATTCAGCGCAAGCAATAACATACCAGAGGGCTATATGGGGCTTGATGCAGGACCCAAGAGCCTGGAGCAGGTGCGCGAGGTGATTGTGGGCTCTAATACCATTCTGTGGAACGGACCGATGGGCGTATTTGAGTTTAGCAACTTTGCCGAGGGCACGCGCAGAGTGGCGGAATTCATTGCCGAAGCGACCGAAAAAGGTGCTTTTAGCCTGGTGGGCGGTGGCGATTCGGTGGCTGCCATAAAGAAGTTTGATATGGCCAATCGTGTGAGCTATGTCTCCACCGGGGGAGGAGCAATGCTGGAGTTTTTGGAAGGAAAAGAGTTGCCGGGAATTAAGGCAATGAACTAGGCATATGATCGGTGCTATCGGATGGGCCAATGGCTTGTTCGATATACACTTCAACGTATTCGGAGTAGTTGGCAAAGCGTTGATATACAAGACTTTCAGTAAGCGTGTCTTTCTGGAAAATGGTGCTTTCGCTTTGCATGCTTTTTAAAAAATAAACCATCACGAGAACAACCACAAACCACTTGGCCAGGCCAAAAAGGCCGCCCAAAAGGTGGTTTATTGCTCCTAGCGCGATCATGTTCATGGCCTTTGTTATGGTGCGGCTAAGGAGATTAATGGCAATGACTACCACCACGAAAACAAGAATGAAGGAGATTACACGCAACTCAATGCCCGGGTTTTGTACCATGGTACTGAGCTTAACGTACAGATCTTCAGAAAAGTAAAAGGCCAAAATTAAGCCGCCAATGAGGCCAGCGATGGAGGCTATTTCACTGATGAGCCCGCGATATAGACCACGAACCAAGCCGTAAATGAGAGGGAGAACAAGTAAAATATCAAAAAGGGCCACAAAAGCAGTTTGAGCTGGCAAATATACCGTTAAACGTAGAGCATGATAAACGAGAAGAACAAAAGTGACTGGGCGAAGGTTCTCGAATTTGTAAAGACGAAATTTAGTGATGGCGAGGAGCCGGATTTAGATACCATTTTGTTTTTAATTGGCGTTAGGGAACTGGGCCAACCGCGCAAAAAATTCAAGAAAGACGAGAAGATTCAACTCTTGCATATAGCCATTTGCCGTCTGCTGCAGCCCTACGGTTATTATGAATTGGAAGGGCTTGATGCCGATGGTTGGCCGCACTACACACTAAAAGAAAAAATCCCCAACCTAAAGGCCGGGGAACAAAGTATTTTAATGAAGGAGGCGGTGATACGCTACTTCCAGGAAGAAGGAATTTTTACTACAGAGCGCAGCCAATAACCGTCTCGTCAAACGGTTTTATATAAACGGTTTTGGTCACCTGCTCATTGGCGGCCAAACGAAACTCGGTGCATCCAATTTGCTCTAAATCAGGGCGTTCTCCGCGCAGGGCGCGCACCAGCAAAATGGCCGGTTTGTCGTATACAAATTCAACTTCTCCCGCTTCGTTGGTGGTTCCGGTAAGAAAAACCACGTTGCCATTGGTGGGCGCCAATACCTCTACCGATACGTTTTGCACCCGGATGGAGTCGGCATGGGTTTTAACCACCACTTTGAAGGGGTAATCCGGATTGAGGTCTTCGCGTTCGCAAGAGGCCAAAACCAGCACGGCCGAAATAAATACAAGTAAAAACAGAGAGGGAGCTTTATTGATCATTGCGGCAGCCATTATTTTCGTCATTAAACGGTTTTAAGTCAATGAATGTAGTGGTAACCCCGCGGTCTAGTTCGGCAAAACCACAGGCCTTTCTAGGAGGTTTTGTGGCAACAATTTCCACTACGGCTTTATTGTCAAGCTCAATGGATACCATGCCTTCTTCATTGGTGTAGAGATAATAGTCAATCAAGGGTTTGGTTCCGGCATCAACCGGAGCTGAAATATGCACCAATGCGTTTGCCACGCGGGTAGAATCATTAACGGTAATTACCACGTCTAGCGCGTATGATCTGTTGTCTTTTTCGCAGCTCCAATTAAGCAGGGTTAACCCGGTTATCAGAACAAACGCAATGCAAATCCTTTTCATAACTGTGATAGAATATTATCATCTTTGCCTTTCGCAAATATAAGAATTAACGACAGCGTATTATTTTTTAGCATTCATGGAGGCTCAAATAAAGCAATATTTAAAGGAAATAGAGGCATTCAAAGCGAATAATGCAGAGGAAGTAGAGCAATTCCGCATCAAATATTTAGGTAAAAAAGGCGTAATAAATGAACTTTTTGCGCAGTTTAAATCCCTTCCGGGCGATGAAAAACGCATTTTTGGAAAGCCACTGAACGAGCTAAAAAACGCGGCACAGAGCAAACTCAAATCGCTTCAGGCCGAGGCGGGTTCATCCGCGAAAGCGCAGAGCGAAGGTGATTTAACCCGTGCAGTTAATTTTGAGGCCCTGGGGGCTCGTCACCCGGTTAACCTGGTGAAGAATGAAATTATTGATATTTTCAAGCGCATCGGCTTTAACGTTTCTGAAGGCCCGGAAATTGAAGACGACTGGCACAATTTTACCGCACTAAACTTTCCGGAAGAGCATCCTGCGCGCGACATGCAAGACACATTTTTTGTGGGCAAAGACCCCGATTGGGCGCTGCGCACGCATACCTCTAGCGTGCAAGTTCGGGTGATGGAAAACGAGAAGCCGCCCATTCGCACCATTTCCCCCGGCCGGGTGTACCGGAATGAGGCCATTTCAGCGCGCTCACACTGCTTTTTCCATCAGATTGAGGGATTGTATATTGACGAAAACGTAAGCTTCACAGACCTCAAGCAAACGCTTTTATATTTTGCGCAGGAGTTTTTTGGCAAAAACACCAAAATAAGGCTGCGCCCTTCGTATTTCCCGTTTACCGAGCCTAGTGCTGAAATGGATGTGTACTGGGGCCTGGAAAATGAACGCGATTACCGCATGACCAAAGGCACCGGTTGGTTGGAAGTATTGGGCTGTGGCATGGTTGACCCGGCCGTGCTGAAAAACAACGGCATTGACCCGGAAAAATACTCGGGATTAGCCTTTGGTATTGGGGTGGAACGCATCACCTTACACCGCTATCAAATTCCAGAGATCCGCATGCTGTTTGAGAACGACAGCCGTTTTCTGGAGCAATTCAAGGCCGCGCTTTAAACCAGGCCGTCAATGGCTTGCGCCAGCTTGCGATCTTTTTCGGTGACTTTGTTTCCCGCATCATGCGTGCTTAAGGCAATGCTTACCTTGTTGTACACGTTAAAAATTTCTGGGTGGTGCTGCGCTTTTTCGGCTTCAATGGCCACCCGGCTTAAAAAGCCGAATGCCTCACTGAAATCGCTAAATTCAAACTCCCTTCTTAGTTTATTGTCTTCTTCAAGCCAATTACTCATGATCAATAGTTGAAATCTTAAGGGTATTGGTCATGCCCATTTCTTCAATAGGCATGCTGGCAATTTTTACCACGATGTCTCCATCACTCACCAAACCCCGCTCTTGCACTATTTGTTTAATGTCTTTAAACGACTGGTCGGTACTCACCGTTTTGTCGTAGTAAAAGCCGCGTACGCCCCACAGTAAACTCATGGTATTTAAGATACTGCGGTTAGAAGTAAAGAGGTAAATGCTGGTTTTGGGGCGGTGGGAGCTGATTTTAAAAGCCGTGTAACCACTAAAGGTCATGGTAAGAATGGCGCTTGCCCCAACCTGATCGGCAATTTTACTGGCATTGTAGCAAATGCTATCGGTTATGAAGCGCTTGTTGCGGTATTTGGGAGGGTTTTCTCCTTCGGTGCTAACCTGACCGCTGGCCTCAACGTGGGCTACAATTTTGGCCATGGCCTCTACTACTTCCACCGGATGCTTTCCCACGGAAGTTTCACCGCTCAGCATAACCGCATCAGCTCCGTCTAATACCGAGTTTGCCACATCGTTCACCTCGGCCCGACTCGGGGTTAGGTTTTCAATCATGCTCTCCATCATTTGCGTGGCTATTACCACCGGCTTGGAGTAGCGGTGGCACTTGTTCACGATCATTTTCTGGATGAGCGGAACCCCTTGCATGGGCACTTCCACGCCAAGGTCGCCCCGGGCCACCATGATGCCGTCTGACAATTCTATTATTTCGTCAATTTCCACCACGGCTTCGGGTTTCTCAATTTTAGAAATAACGTGGCAGGGCGCGTTGTTTTTGGCAATAATGTCTTTTAGTTGCCGCACATCGTTGGGATTCCGAACAAACGACAAGCCAATCCATTCGATTTTTAGGCGCATGGCAACTTCCAGGTCGGCAAGGTCTTTATCGGTGAGGCAGGGCAGAGAAATGCGCGTGTTGGGCAGGTTTACGCCCTTCTTTGATTTGAGCGGGCCGCCCTGAATAACCTTGGCCTTAACCTTATCTATGCCGTTGCTATGGGTAGTTTCCAGCAACAGCTTACCATCGTCAATCAAAATACGGTCGCCCACCCGAACATCACTGGCAAACTGCTGATAGGTCATGAACACCTCCTTGGCGCTGCCTTTCACCTTTTTATTGGTAAAGGTCAGAATATCTCCCGCCTTCAGTTCGGCACCGTCTTCCACATCTCCAACGCGCAGTTTTGGTCCTTGCAAATCGCCCAAAACGGCAATATTCGCATCCTTTTCCTTGTTGATTTTGCGAACAATCTTTACAATTTCCTCTGCGTTTTTATGGTCGCTGTGTGAAAAGTTTATGCGGAAAACGTTTACCCCCGCGTCTACCATTTTACTCATGGTTTCATAATTGGCAGATGCAGGGCCGAGGGTGGCGATAATTTTCGCTTTGTTAATGCTCATGTGGCTTATATAATTCGTTTAGTAAATTTTTGTTGCAACTTAGAATCAAGTTCGCGGGCAGCTTTTATGAAGGGTAGCTTTTGTAGCGATTGCAGCAATTCATCGCGCAGCAATTCGTAGCCTTCTTCTAAATCGGCCCACAAAAAAAAGTCAAAATTTTCATTTGAATTGATCCATCGGGTTTGCGCGCGAACCGGAAACATGCCGTAGCTTCCCTCAAGTTCTTGTTCAATACTTCTGTTTTCTACCAACTGCCACTGCAGTTGGCGCTGCTCATCCGAAAACTCAAAACTAATAAAGCTGTGTGTAAGCTGCGCATCCTTTGTATAATAATCGTGGGTTGAACGCTTAAAGCGGAAACGGAGCCTATTGTTCAATTGGTAGCACAAGCGGATGGCCGAATAGTCGCAATAAAGGCCAATTAAGGGGCCAACGGGTGGCGTATCATCCTCCAGCTTTAGTTGAACCATGATTCAAATTTAGTGCTTTGTAGGCAGCCTGTGCGGCTAACTCTTCGGCTTTTTTCTTGCTCGATGCCTTGGCGCTGCCTTTAATTTCGTCATTGCAAAGCACTTCAATTTCGTACTGCCGGGCATGGCTTTTACCGCTTTCGCTGGCCACTCGGAAGTGTACGCTTTGGCGGTTTTTCGCGGCCCACTCTAACAGTTCGCTTTTATGGCTTACAATGGAGTTTTGCAATTCATTCAGGTCAATGAGCTGCTCAAAGAGTTTGTGTTTAATAAATTGCTGACAGGCGTCATAGCCTCCGTCCAGGTAAACTGCGCCCACCAGGGCTTCCAAAACGTCACCGTTAATAGATTTGGCCTGCGTAGCTCCCGTTTGGTTTTGTTTCACCAACTTATCAATGCCCATTTCCACCGCCAGGGCATTTAGGTTTTTGCGGCTCACAATTTTGCTGCGCATGGTGGTTAAAAAGCCTTCCTCCCGGTTGGGGAAATGAAGGTAAAGGTAATGGGCCACAATGGCGCCCAAAAGGGCATCGCCTAAAAACTCCAGACGCTCATAATTCAGGCGCTGACCGTTCTTTTCCAGTGAGGCTGAGCTGTGCACAAAGGCCAGCTCGTAAAGCGCGATATTCTTCGGCTTTAAGCCGGTTAGGCGGTGTATTGTAAACGAAAAATTCCCGCCTGAGGGCAGGCGGGAATTTAATTTCTTAATCCAACGGACAAGCATGTTTGGCTAGCGCGCTTTTTGAAATAGAACCGATGCATTGTGCCCGCCAAAACCAAATGTATTACTGATGGCAGCGTGAATTTTCTTTTCCTGTGCTTGGTGGAAAGTAAGATTCAGTTTGCTGTCAATTTCAGGATCATCAGTAAAGTGATTGATGGTGGGTGGCACCACGTCATGGTAAACCGAGCATACAGCAGCAATGGCCTCAATGGCTCCGGCAGCACCCAGCAGGTGGCCCGTCATTGATTTTGTTGAGCTGATGTTCAGTCGGTATGCATCATCGCCAAACACGGCCTTAATGGCTTTTAATTCAGCCACATCGCCCAAAGGCGTGGATGTGCCGTGTACGTTGATGTAATCTACTTCAGAAGCGTTCATGCCGGCTTCCTGTAGCGCTTCAGACATTACCTCTTTGGCGCCCAAGCCTTCCGGATGGGGCGCGGTAATGTGGTGCGCATCAGAAGTAACGCCAGTACCGGTTAGTTCGGCATAAATTTTAGCGCCTCGTTTTTTAGCTGCCTCGTACTCTTCAAGCACAATACAGCCCGCACCTTCGCCTAAAACAAAGCCATCGCGATCCTTGTCAAAAGGACGGCTGGCCGTTTCGGGAGAATCATTGCGCGTGCTCAAGGCATGCATAGCGTTAAAACCACCCATACCCGCTTGGTTTACTGATGCCTCACTGCCTCCGGCCAAACAGGCTTCAATTTTGCCCAGGCGGATGTAGTTAAAAGCGTCAATAATTGAGTTGGTGGACGAAGCACATGCCGAAACCGTAGAATAGTTGGGGCCACGGAAACCATACTTAATGGAAATGTGACCCGGGGCGAGATCCGCAATCATCTTGGGAATGAAAAAAGGGTTGAAACGCGGAGTTCCGTCACCTTTGGCATACGCCATACATTCCTCAAGAAAAGTATCAATACCGCCAATACCCGAGCCCCAAAGCACGCCAATGCGATTTTCGGGGTAGCCCGCATCCAAGAGGCCGCTATCCTGAACGGCTTCTTCGGCAGTTACCAGTGCATACTGGGCAAAGCGATCTAGCCTGCGTGCCTCTTTACGGTCTATGTGCTGCTGCACATCAAAATTCTTCAGCTCGCAGGCAAACTGAGTTTTGAATTTTTCAGGATCAAATCGGGTAATGCGCGCAGCACCACTTTTACCGGCAAGCAGGGCTTCCCAGTAGTCAGCAGCCGTGTTGCCAATGGGGGTTAATGCCCCCATTCCAGTTACAACAACCCTTTTGAGTTCCATGAAAAATTACTTCTTGGCTTCTTCTATGTATGCTACAGCCTGACCCACGGTGGCAATGTTCTCGGCCTGGTCATCGGGAATTTGAATGTCAAATTCTTTTTCAAACTCCATAATCAGTTCAACTGTGTCAAGAGAGTCAGCGCCCAAATCGTTGGTGAAACTAGCTTCGGTAGTCACCTCGTTTTCGTCTACTCCAAGCTTGTCTACAATAATTGCTTTTACTTTAGAAGCGNNAATTATTAAGCTGCAAAGAAAGTAAAATTATCAAAAAACCAGCAAGCAACATCAGCCTGTTTAAGAGCAAATTGTATTTTCGCTCTTGTATTAAATTGTCATGAAAAAAATAGTTGTACTGGCTTCGGGCTCCGGAACAAACGCTGAAAACATTATTAAGTACTTTGCCGAGAGCGACTTTGCCAGTGTGGTAAGTGTAATTACCAACAATCCAAAAGCCGGGGTAATTGAACGATCGCGCAAGCTTGGCGTACCCTTTATTATTTGCAACGAAGAGGCTTTGGCCGATGGTACTTTGCGCAATAAACTGCAAAGTATGGGAGCCGATTTGTTGGTTTTGGCCGGCTTTTTAAAAAAAATACCCGCCAATTTGCTGGAAGCTTTTCCCGATAGAATCATAAATATTCACCCGGCACTATTGCCCAATTACGGAGGCGAGGGCATGTACGGGCGCCATGTGCACCAGGCCGTGGTGGAAAACGAAGAAGAAGTGAGCGGAATTACCATACACTATGTGGATGCGCAGTACGATGAAGGTGAAATAATTTTTCAGGAAGAGGTAGAGGTAGATCCGGAAGATACCTGGCAAGACCTGGAGTATAAAGTACGCCAACTGGAGTACAAGCACTACCCGGAAGTAATCGAATACATTTTGAAAGACCTCTAAATGAGGATTAACATTTACACAGATGGTGCGGCTCGGGGCAACCCGGGGCCGGGCGGCTACGGCATTGTGATGGAGGCCAAAAACGTGCGCAAGGAATTTAGTGCCGGTTTTAGAAACACCACCAATAACCGCATGGAGCTGCTCGCCATTATTGAAGCACTGCGAAAATTAAAAGAGCCCGGCCACGAAATTCATATCTACTCCGATTCAAAATACGTGGTAGATGCCGTAACCAAAGGTTGGCTGCGTAACTGGGTAAAAAAGAATTTTAAAGACAAGAAAAACGTTGATCTGTGGCTGGAGTACATCCCGCTG